TCCGTACATAGCTTTAGAAAAGAATGTTAAGTCCTTTATCTCTCTATCGTAAGATAGCGGCAGAAGATTAAGGGCCAACAAACGATCTTTGTACGAGAGCTCCCCTATCTTTACTTGGAGGATCCATCGTGTGGCACGCCTTTGAATCCTCTCTAGGTAAGTTTTGTTGGCGAACTGAGACGGTGGCCTGACTTCCGTAGCATAATCCAGTTGGGATTTCACTAGTGATAAGTATAATGTCCTTCGAGCAACACGATCTGTTAAAAAGGGGCACGTTCTTCGTAATAAACCCAGCATTTTATTTGCCTTGGATACTATTTGGGTGATGTGCTGATTCCAAGATAACTTTCTTGTCACTGTAATTCCAAGGTCAACCTCACTATCTACACGCACCAGTTCAGTTGAACCAAGGTGGTACTTTGTCTCAATCGGGATTTTTCGGCGGGATATTGTTAGAACTTTGTATTTAGATGCGTTGAAGTCAATATTGGATTGCTTGCTCCAATTGTCAGTGTGCGACAATCATTCCTGTAGATGGTCACAATCCTGGCGTGATCTTATTGCTTTGTACAACTTTGTATCGTCGGCATACAGACCGGTTGATGTTGATGGAGGAATGATGTCCAGGAGGTCATTGATAAAAAAGGAGGAACAGCATAGGTCCTAAGATACTACCCTGAGGGACACTGGAGGTAAATTGAGACCATTCTGAAGTTGCACCATCGACAACGACACGCTGAGTACGACCACGCAGATAATCAGTAAACCAATTGTACACGTTGCCTGAGATGCCGTAAGATTTGAGTTTCTTCAATAAAATAGTATGATCAACGGAATCAAAGGCTTTAGCAAAGTAAAGAAAAAGAATGTCTGTCTGAACGTTACTGTCAAGCAATTGTCCAATATGATGTAATATTTAATAATAAACAACATGAAGTGTTTAAAGTAGTTGTCATGGCAACACGGTGATTTTATTAAGAATATTTTTACAAATGAAAAATCACCTAAAAATATCACTTTTAATTACAAAATTATCAATTTCCCAAACACATATATGTTAGGTAAGGTAAAATTCAACCACAAACGCAAAACGTCTTAAAATGTTCTTTATAAAACTCAAGGCCGTCGGAAGCGGGGGGCGAGGGCTGGAGTGGGGGCTTGAAGACCCCCCCTCAATAATTTCCATTTGTATAAGAAAAACACACAAAAGAACTGGAAAAGTGCGAAAGCAATTCAGATTTACTTCCGACGGCCTTGAAACTAAATTGCCTTTATCGATAATAAACTTTTTATATTCGCCATTCCCACTTGCTTTAGTTTGCTTTTGTAACTCTTTTAGAACTATTGCAGAATACCCGTCGATTTTTAAGCTATGCCTTTCAAACATCGTGGATACGATGTATTAATACATTTATATTTATACTTAATAGATTAATAATAAATAGATCGATAGATTAAAATCCCATGCTGGTAAAGGTAGCTACGATCGAGGCATACGGTGACTTAGGAATAATAGATTAAGTTGTCATATACATAATTATAGTGTTAAAGGTAGCTCCACATTTTAGTGCCTACGGGGATACGTTGATATGCTGTCAAGTAGTTATTTCGAGAACGAGGTGTACAGTTAGATTATTATTATTATTATTATTATTATTATTATTATTATTATTATTATTATTATTATTATTATTATGAACTATATATTTTTTTACACGGTATAATTTCACCTACTAAAATTAATTATCTACACAATATAAAAAGAAAAAAGGTGATCTTCCAACCGGCCGTGCTCGATCACACAAGCAGAAATAAGAAATATATTATTTACAAGAAGATTATTTTAGGTAGATGGAAGCAATGGCAGGATCATTTGATGTTAATTTGCATGTTTCAAGTTAGACTTAAAATTAGCAATAGTTGTCGATGCTTTTAGCGATGCAGAAAGGCAGTTCCAGACTTCCGCACCTCTGTAGGAGAATGCATTTTTCATACTATTTGTGTTTGGTTTAGGCAGTAGGGAGGTTAAGATACCCCGGTTCCGGTTTACGGGTACGAGTACCGCCATTTTGTTTACCAATTTTTGCTGATGTCAGCAACTTTACCCGTAATTTCTACCCGTTTCCCCACGGTAAACCATGGTCTACACGTAAACGACAAACGGGTACGGGTGTTTTCTGTTTACTATTTTTGGGCCGTTTAAATAGTACAAATTTTCAACATCTTACCCAAATAAATAATGCACATATGCTGGTCAAAGTATTCAACAATTTATGGCCAACCTCAACAGCGAAGGTTGCCATTCTCTGATCGGTTTTCTCACGCCGGAGTATGTTGGATTTCTTAAGTTACCAGTTATTTCCCGATTTACTGGTACGGGTACGTGTATATCACCCGTACCCGTAAACCGGAATCGGGGTATCTTAACCTCTCTAATGTCAGATCGGCTCCCGACTGTCTTGTGTTATGGTCGTGTACATCACACACATTTGTGAACATATCACACAAGTAATCGGGGACCAATTTGCTTTTCACCTTGTACATGAGAATTGAAAGTTGTTGCATTCTTCTTTTTTCGAGGTTCGGAACTCCTAGCTTGTTTAATATATCAGCCGATCGTGTCGTATAATTCTCACGAGTGATTATTTGAAACGCTCTGTTTTGTAATTTTTGAACTTTAGCTGCTAATGTTTTCCCTAAGCAACCCCATACTTGAGCACAATAATCGAAGTAAGGTTGAATTATGGATTGATATATTGTTATTAAGGTATTGAATTCGACTGTATCCCGGAGTGGTCTGAGAATAGCAAGGCCTGAGGTGACCTTTCTTGAAATGTGTTCGACCTGCGCGGTCCAGTCTAGAGACTCGCGTATCATTAGGCCCAATGATTTTGTCGTTTGAACTCTCTTAATTTCTAAGTTACCTACACTAATAGCAGGATCGACAATCACTTGACTAAGCCTTTTCTTGGAACCAATTATCATATATTCGGTTTTACTAATGTTTAGAGTTAATTTGTTTGCGGACAGCCAATTTGCAACATTGTTTAAATCTCTATTTAATGTTTCAGTGATTATTTTGATATCGTCACTTGATGTTGCAATTTGGGTATCATCCGCAAACATGTCTGGTTTTGCCCAGGTGTTTAAACATTTTGATAAATCATTGATGTAAATTAGAAATAACAATGGGCCTAAACCAGAACCCTGAGGTATGCCTGTTTTCATAATTGAGGGACTTGCTAGTTTACTATTCACACAACAGCACTGGGTCCTATTTGATAGATACGACTCCAGCCAGCGATTTGCCATTCCCTTTATTCCATAAGCTGCTATTTTATCTAAGAGTATATTGTGATCGACAGTATTGAATGCTTTTTTCAGATCCAGAAAAACAATCCCATTTAGTTTCCCAATGTCAAGATTTGTATACCACTCGTTGGTTATGTCCAGTAATGCTGAAACAGTTGAGTGAAGTAGTCTAAATCCGTGTTGGGAGCTTGAATGCAGATTATAGTTATGTAAATAATTATACATAGATTTAGTTATATATGAATCAGCTTTTCCGCAATTTTGGCAACTACCGATATAACGGATATTGGTCTGTAGTTTGTCATTTCATCTTTAGCTTCAGACTTAAAGATTGGAGTAATTCTAGCGATTTTCCAATCGTTGGGAAATATGCCTGTTAAGATTGACTGGTTGAATATTGATGTTAAGGATGGTGAACTAACTGCTGCCGAAAGTTTTAAGATACGGGAGGAGATACCATCGATTCCGGATGCCTTATTGGGCCCTAAACCATGAGGTAGTTTCAAAACGTCATTTTCTAAAATTTCTTGAAAGCTAAGGAGTCATTAACTGGATGGTGTACATCACTGAGAAAACTATCCGGTAAAATATTCGATCGAGGAATTTTATTCGCAAGTTTTCCCCCTAGTTCAACAAAGTATTTATATTAAAGGCATTGGGGATCAGCGTTTCGTCAATTACTTCACCATTCTCATTTTTCATTTCTGGGATTTATTATTAGTTGACTTTCTATTCAATTCGTTGAGTGTTTTCCATGTTTGTTTTAAACTTCCTGAATTGCTATGTAGTTTGCCTCGATAATAGGAGCACTTTGTATCTTTTATTTGCCTATTGTATTTGTTTTTTGCCTTTCTGTAGATAGACCAGGCATCAGTTGTGTTGGTTGTTCTAGCTTTCCTATGTAGGAAATTAATATGTCGTTTATTAGATCAAACTCTCACTCATAATAATATAATAATATAATATAATGAATTTGTCACTTTATACATGATACAAACTAATTAAAGACAAATAAAGACAGATACAAATCGTGACAGGGGAAAGGAACAGGACTCTCGTCCCAATTGACACCTAACCCCTAAAAAGACGTTACATATAAATACAGATAAAGAACAGGTTATAACACATTAGTTATAACAACTTATACTAGCTAAGATTTGAATCGTGACTATAAAAGTACTGAATGTTTACACACTGCGACTTACCCACTATGCAGATAACAATTATTCAAAATCAATTTGGAAATCATGAGTCAATTTATATTTCCTATTTGTAAATATGATAAAAATGGCCGAAATTGTCTATTAATGCCTCACGCATTAATATATCAAATTCTCACGCTATAGATAGCTCCATCTTTTAATGGATGCTTGAGTACACAGTCAACTATAGTTATTGTGGCTTTGTGCTTTATAAAACTTATCAGTTAGGATGTTTTCAGATTTCTGGCATAATTGAATCGTCTGACAATTGTTTTTGGAAACGAGACCATATTTTCTCACGCTGACGTCCGATTTTCGTCCTGGGATTCGCGATTGAACTGAACTCAAAGTTGTCAATTGGCCAGTATACTCTCGGTGGAGAAAGAAATCATTTGTGGCATTCCTCAGGGGAGTATACTCGGCCCTCTCTTATTTATTATATATATAAATGATTTGCCAAGCTGCCTAGAACGCACAACTCCAAGAATGTTTGCTGATGATACTAACTTAACGGCAGTAGGCAGAACAATTAGTGAGGCGGAAGAGAGGGCGAGCGTAGACATGAGGAATGTTCAGAAATGGCTTTGTGCAAATAAACTAAGTCTAAATATAGCGAAAACCGAGTATGTTTTAATTGGAACACGACATAAAATAAGTAATATTGATACCCATCAAGGAGTTAAAATAAATAATCAATTGATTAAAAAAGTTAAAAATACCAAAGCTCTTGGAGTTGAATTAGACGAAAACTTGAGTTGGGAAAAACACATTAACCATATTAGCAGTAAAATATCATCAGGTATTGGGGCTATTAGGAAAATGAGGGAGTATGTCGAACAAGACATTTTGATAAAAGTTTATAATGCCTTAATCCAACCTTATTTTGATTATTGCTGTGAAGTATGGGATACACTTAATAAAGGCCTAAGCGAACGTCTACAGAAATTCCAAAACAGAGCGGCTAGGTTGATCATGAACTTAAAAAATGAACATGGTCAGTCTATTTTGGCACGAAAATCTCTAGGCTGGGTAACACTTGAAGAGCGTAGGGCACAAATGTAAGCCGGGCTCATGTACAAGATAGTTAATGGTTTAGCCCCCCAACGACTATGCGAAGCTTTCCAATATCTGAATACCATTCATGACCATAATCTGAGAGGTTCTTCAACAAGGTTTTATATTCGAAGACCAAAAACGGAATCCTTAAAAAAAAGCTTCCAATTTAGTGGGGCTAAACTATGGAATCAGATACCTGAAGAGATACGCAATTCGGTATCGTATAATTCGTTCTGTAAAAAGCTATCTTCCTCGACCTTAATCTCGACCTTGATCTATCTATTGCCATAGCAATTTTCTATGATCGCTGAAAGTTTATCACGCGCGTGGAGTTCCTGGTTAGAAAGACTGAAGAAAGCAAAAGCATGCTTGCTTGCACATTTATGTGCATGGTTTAACAATAGGTTTAACGGTGTAATTGGGCAACCGGACATTGGTGTTTGACTGCAGATTATGATTAATTAGCGCGTCGCTGGGAAAAAAATAATTTCATATTACAAACACACTAAGCATAGTATCAAACATTAAAGGTCTTGCATGATATTTCCTTTATAGTATCAACTCGTAATATTGTCTTAGTAATTAGTTTGTGTACATTAGAACGAGGTAATAAGATCTGCTGGATACTATCATATATGTATCCAGTGAAATAGTAGCCGCGGGCTACATGATATGATATTACAAGTGGACGGGTATTCTGCAATATTTTCTTTTTTTCTTCTTAACAGTTCTTGAGTATTTTCGGAACCAGAAAAACAAGTTTGTAGATTTGTAATGGCATCGCGAAGCAAATCTTCCATCTTTCTACATGTGATCGAAGATGAATGTGGAGTGATGGATAAATGGTGTACCGGTGGGTTACACAGGGTACGAAGGAATCGATCGATAACGCGACGAGGTCTGGACGCGGATAAATGATGCCTCTGACTATCAACGAGGAGTCCGACTGTCTATACGGAAAAAAATTGCGTCGGCGCCTTTGCTCCCTTCTTTAGCAATTCTTTCACCTTTTTTCTCAAAAAGCTTTTGAAATTTACAAAATCTTGCAAAAATGAAAGATATTTGCAAGAAATCATCAAATCAAGAAAATGTTTGCTATTTCGTTGTCGTCATGCAGTCGTTATAATGCAAATTTTAAATTGGACCAGTCAGTGTTCGCTATTCATGACAGTCCGCTATATTTTGAGATCAGTGAGGATGACCACCCATCCAAACACGCACGGTGAACTTTGGCTTCGCTAACACTTTCCTTCCCCAGGGGGCAAATAGCCGGGAGGAATTAGTACCTCGGGGATAACTGCAAACCTGAGTTACCATTTGTTTCTGTTAGAATATTAACGAAAGAATTTTAGTATGACGTGACGTAGCCACGTGCTTACGCCATCTCGCCCCATTGTACGTGATTTATAACCGGGTTGCGTGGCAATTGCAGACGTCATTAGAAATACCAATATTTTTTTAAAAAAGTGCGCTACATGTCATTATTTTGTCTGGTCAACTACAGTATGTAACAGTATGTTGAAATTTTGCATGCTGTATTACTGCAAAAGTCTTTCACTATACCAAAAATCGAAAAATTTGTATTCTGTAAGGCGGCCAATAAAATTATCGAACAAACGGCACTTTTGCGGTTTTTTAAAAAATGGTATTACACAGAATATTTTTATATATTGCTTATTGCTAGGTTATATGTTCTAAGTAAAAAAGTGATTAAAAAAATTGGGATCACCGTGTTTCTTTTCCAACTAGACAGAGCAATAGGCTATCTAAAAATGAATTTCGTACGTGTGTCTTACCATAGCAACGAACTATGTGTTGCCAAACCTGCCATGATGTATAAGCTTTATATTCATTTGATTGCGTAGATGGGACGTGCGAAACACTATCATTCCCCTCGTGAAACTTTATATTTCATGTAGATCATTTCTGATCATAATTATAATGTGCCCAATTGTGGAGAAATTATACTCCTTCGAGGGCATGCAGCGAGCGCAGTTTCAATTTGGCGAACTGCCCTGATAGTGGTAGACCACTGAAATATTTCGTTTACGTATGTATACTCTATATGTGTGATTTAAGGAAACTCAAACATCTAGCTTCTTATTACCTTAGAAAGCAGTTAGCTGAAACGCTAATATTATCCAAATTGGATTATGCTGATGGTGTTTTCTATCCACTCCCGCAGTTTCTATCAAGGCGCTTACAGAAAGTTCAATTTGCAACTGCTAGTTTTGTCTTGGGTCGATATGTTAAAGATCAAAAGGATATCCTGGAAGTTGGATGGCTTCCAGTTAACGAAAGAAGAGACCTCAACATCCTGAAATCGAGTTTCAAAGCCATGTACTTCCCAGAGTGGCCAGAGTATCTAAAGCTAGAACGACAAACTTGCGTTCGAGAACTGCGCTCAACCAATGCAGTTAGACTAGTCGTGCCAAAAGAAACTGGAACGTTTCAACATAGTGCTGCGAAACTTTTTAATTCCTTACCTGAGAACATCAGGAATTGTACTAATTACAAAGTATTTTTAAAATTAACTAAAGAACTTTTATTCGAAAGAGCACGCCAAAACTAGTTTTTAATCCGAACATCGATTTTATCTAATTTCAACACTTAAACGTTATAGTTCATAGTTATAGAATATAGTATTTAATTAGTATTTTAACAGGGAAGAGCCATATGTATGGATCTGTTGAATAAATCGTTATTATTATTATTATTATTTTACAGTACAGTCGTTCCTTAAAGTATTCGTGGAAATTCTTTGCATGAACGGTATCAGACACAAGTCAGTGGCGTGCAAATTTTTTTTCCGTAGACAGTCGAACCCCTCATTGATAGTCGGACGCATCATTGACCCGCGCCCAGGCCTCCGCGCGTTATTGGTTGATCCCTTCGTATCCTGCGTAACCCACTAGTACACCATATATCCATCACTCCACCACGTTCTTGAAGGTTCTTCTTCTTGGTCCACGTGTAGAAAGATGAACGATTTGCTTCGCGATGCTATAGCAAATTTACAAAGTTGTTTTTCTGGTCCCGAAAATACCCAAGAATTGTTATCGAGAGTTAAAACTATAATCCCAATTGAAGAGAATCAGTATAAGATAACCAGCGTACAAGGAAATGCTGGAAGATTCAAAGCGACTATCAAGACGAATTTCCACAATGAGGAAGATATTGCAATGTTCATTCAGAATTATGGAATCAAAAACAATGAAACTTTAAGAGTTACGAAAGCGAGAAAAAGAAGTGGGAATGGCAAATATACTTTAATAAAATATTTCAGATGTCATCACTACACGAGATACGAAGCCACAATGTGCCCTGCTCAGATTTTAGCATCTCAACCAAGCAAACGGTTTAAGAACACCAACTGCCCATTTTCACTAGTGGTAAGACTTGGTAAAAGAGTAGATGAAGATTATAATTCAAGCATCAATGTCGAGTGGAATCATAACCATTCAGTTGATTCGCTGCATTCTTTGAGTTTCAAAGACATTCCAATGAATGTCACAAATACCATCACCCAGATGTATGCTAGTGGTTTATTGCCTGGGGCAGCTCATCGAGAATTTTTACGTCAGCTGAGAAGCGAGTGCCAAGATGACCTTGAGTACCATAAGAGACTTTCAGATCGGTCTGAAGCACCTCGAAGAGAGGATTTCAACAGAATTTATTCTGACTTTAAGGAAGAACGATTCGGAACTGGTAGTATGTCAGATATGTTTTCTGCTCTTGAAGAAAGGATCAAAGATTTGAAAGAGAAAGATGCGGAATATACCATTGAGTATCAAAAGTTCGACGAAACAATCAACCAGCCATTTATCATGGTAGTAATAACTCCGTTGATGAAAAGAGTGCACAAAATGGTAAGTTGAAAAAAAAATTTTCAACTGGCATTAGAATTATAAACTACAAAAGTATGGTGCATGCTCTCTCTCCTCCGCAGAGGCTTTAGTTTTCTTAGGATTTAATATTACGATGAGATACATTTCACTACACTTTACATGGCGGATCTTGAAACACGAGCGTAGCCGCTGGGCGAAGGAGCGCAGGCGGCAAAGGGAAGGCGAAGGAAGGCGCGAAGCCTCTGCACGATTTGCATCGCAAAGTGGGACAAAGTGGGACAAAGTGTAAACATCGAAACAAAAGGTGATTTTAAGCTAAACAAGAAACGTCTTTTTGAAAATTAAATCATTATTTAATGCATGATTGATTGACCTCATTGACTAGTGCTTGCATGTTTGTGGATGGTCAAAAGTAATATTTTTAACATTTAATACACAAAGCAAACAATCGTATATTTTACTCACCGCTTGGCCAAACATTCTGTATTACGTATCGAGAAAAACTTGAATATTTCTTGAACTCTTCGGAATTCGCCACCAGTCAAAGAAGTAAAATACTCCTTGTATTCAAGCGCTTTCGTGTAGAAAATTTCTTTTGAATATGGCCAGTAGAAATATTTATTTTTAATTTTTCAAAATATCGGGTTTTCAGTCGCCTGTCACACGCTGATGTTCGGGAATTAGTTCACAATCAGACCAGGAATGGAAATACCATAATAAAAGATGAAGTTTTCAAGATACAAGCTCAAAAATAACACTTTAAGTAGTT